ACATTTCTAAACTAGTATTTGGCTCTGTATTTGAGCTCCAAGCTTTTTGCTGAGGGTGGGGTAGGATGCAGAAGTACAAAACTTCTGGAAATCCTCTTACTGCTCTGTCTTTATGTTTTGTGGACTTTCAGAATGAAGAGTTCACCTGGGGAGCAGATGCCTGTCCCTGTGTGAGGGGAATTCAGGGGTCATCTCTGTTGCCAGTCAATGTACAAAGAAAGATAACACTGATCGGAAGGAACTTCCATCTCTATGAGGTAAGCCTTTAGTGCTGGCCGTTGTTCAGATACTGCAGGAGAGGCATGATAGGAAAACTTCTTTTGTGGGTGTTCAGTGAACAGCTGCCTGTTCTTTTCTGAGATATGTGTTAAATTAATCTCAGTATTGTTGCAGAGTTTTAAAATATTGGTTAAATTCTTCTAGCTGTGCAGTAGAAGCGCAAGTATTCACAGAGCAGAATAGCTTCAAGTTCCCCAGAGTAGACCACCGCTTCTCAATACCTGGCACTTACAGTCTCAAAAAATCACTCTGAGACATGAATAGTAGGGAAAAAAAATGTTTCATTTACTTACAGTTGTAAGTAAGAACAGATCAAACAGCAAACGAATAATCGTGACTGCTTTCAACAACAGACCTCAACAGACGTTGGACGGGGGACACAAAACAAAGAGATGTGGCTCTCTTTGAATTCAGAGACAGGGAAGAACAATTGTTAGTGCTGGATAGAGTGACATCAGTCCAGCTCAGGAAAGGCCGTCCTAATCACACAAACTGCAGGCAGCATGCAAGGTTGAAAAACTCTGACAAATACAGTGGTGCCTCACAGTGCGATGTTAATTCGTTCCAGCGAAATCGCAAAAGCGATCGCAAAAAGTTAGTTGCAAAGCGATTTCGTCGCTAAACGGAGCGCTCGCTAAGCGAGGCACCACTGTACTGTGTATTTACTAGGACAATGAAGAGACACGACAATAGCCGTCTAGTGAAGCCAAGGTGGGTAGGGTTAAAGTGCTTTGACCTTGGCCTTAGCCTCCAACAATGCATCCCTATACTCTAGGGTCTTTTCTAGTTGCTTCATGGCTGTGCTTACACGTCTCATGTATCTTCTATTTTTGAGCTAGACCCACATTGAAACAGTGGGTGTGTTGCTGCCGTAATTGATTTGTCCATCATACCTGCCAAACGACATCGCTCTCCAGCACTGTTTAGAGAAGTAACTAATTCCCACCAGTACTAACAGACAGTAAATGGTGGTGGGTTGGCAGGTAAGGGATCTTCGAATGGCCATGGGATTCAGTTGCAGGGCTTGTCCTTGATGAATTTGAGCGAGGACTCGGTTTAGAGGGAGCCTAGGAGTTACGTGGAGTACAGCTGGATAAGTTCCTTTTCTGGGCTAACATGGCTACTAGGAGTTATAGGCCAAAAAAGTAACGTTTCTGAGTACTGGCTGAAGCTGAGGGCATGTCTCTCTCTGTATGATTCAGCCCTTGATTTCTCCTTTCTTGAAGGATCAGCTCTGGGATTATGAATGTGCCTTAGTTCTGGAGGGGAAGACCTTGGTTGTGGAAGCGTATATTGAGCAGGATGAAACCAATCCCACCCTTTCCTATATCACCTGCCAGCTGCACCAGGTAAGGCCTTCCTGTGACAGGGACCCTGCCCTTGAATATCCACCAGCTCTGGCTGTAAAATAATTGCCAGATTTAGAGGCATGTTGACAGGGATTGTCCAGGTTTTATGCCATTCTTTTGTCAGTCCTAAATCCTTATATGCCAAATGAGCACAGACCTTAACTGAGTTTTCTCTCCACACTTATACCTGAAATCCCACTTACTGTCTTTTTAACAAATCATTGTCTTTTAAAGAAATGGCTCAAAAATATTATAACGCTGAAGAAATATTTTCAAAATGAACTTATGTGCTGGGTTTTTCTCGAAGTAGGTTAGCACTAACACTGACATTGTCCGATCTGAGCCCTCTGTAGTGAAGGCTCATTCCACTGGTAATCCACTTGAGATATCAGTTGTTTTTCCAAAGAGGTATTTCAGAAATACTGAGGAACCCTTTCCAGAATGATCATGTGTTGGACTTTTTGGGTGGGTAGGTTGGCTGGTTTTTGCATTTACATTAGAACGTTCAAGCTAGAGTCCAGTGGTTCCCAACTTTGGATCCCCAGATGTTCTTGGACTACAACTCCCAGAAATCCTGGTGAGCACAGCTAGTGGTGAAGGCTTCTGGGAGTTGTAGTCCAAAACCATCTGGCAATCCAAGGTTGGGAATCACCGCGACTTTTTGGGTGGGTAGGTTGGCTGGTTTTTGCATTTACATTAGAACGTTCAAGCTAGAGTCCAGTGGTTCCTAACTTTGGATCCCCAGATGTTCTTGGACTACAACTCCCAGAAATCCTGGTGAGCACAGCTAGTGGTGAAGGCTTCTGGGAGTTGTAGTCCAAGACCATCTGGCGATCCAAGGTTGGGAATCACCGTTCTAGAAACTCTTCCCCCCCCCCTCAAATTCTTCCTCTGCTACAAAGTGAACCACACAGACCTACAGGAGGTGGTTATAGAATATAATTATCATTTGGGATAAGAAATGTGACATTCCTTTCCAAGGCTGATGTTTTGGTCTCTCTTCCAGTACAGTTACTCGGCACCCCAACCCGAATTCAGTGCAGAGATTTTTGTGCAAAGGAAGCAGCGTCTCCGTGTGGACAGCATTGAAAACCTCAATGGTACTGGGGGAAAAAAAGATGCGGGGAAGGGTTGGGAACAGAGGCGGGCATGAACTGTGACTTGATGGTTCGGCGTGGCGACCACGTAGGTTTTGAGATTTTTTTTTTCTGCAGGTGGTGCACGCTTCCGTCCTCTTCCTCCGCACGATTGCCCACTCGCCGGCAACAGCGTGCATCCTGCCTCTGCCTTCTCTGCATGATTGCCCACTCGCCGGCAGCACCGCAGGTTTCCCGGCTGCCTTCTCTGGGTGATTGCCCACTCACCGGCAGCACCGCAGGTTTCCCGCCCCCATCGCCTCGTTTGAGTGGATGATCGTGCAAAGAAGGCAGAGGAGGGTTGTGCGCCGTTGCAATCAGGAAGAGGCAGGAGAAAGAAAGTGCACAGCATCTGCAGAACACCGCTGTGGGTGCTGCACAAAACTGGGCCAAACCACCGAACTCTAGTTTGTGTCTGTCTCTACTTGGGAATGGTTTACTTTAAAAAAGAAAAAAAACTTTAGCCAGATATAGGCAACATGTCCCCTATTTTTCAAAGCCTGTCAGAAAAATGATCTTTCCATACTCTGGCGTAGAGGGCTATATTTTGGAGCCAAGGACTAACAAACACCTGGCCCTGCTGGAAGGATGTTGGCCAAATGCAAAAAAGGTGAGGGTTACTTTTAGACATGAATCCCGGGGTCCTGTTTTCTGATTAAAGTGACGATTAGTAAGAGAGGGAGGCCGAGTGAAAGGGAGTATGTGGAATTATTGGGCAATGAGTTTAAATTCTCCACCTCGCTTCAGTTTAACAGTCCTTCTTTCTAGTCGAATAGTTCTGAAACTCTTACAATGGCTCCTTCTCCACAGTGACCATCTATAATTGCTCCGTGGGACACTTGGATTGCAGCCGCTGCCAAACGGCGGATGCCAAATATAACTGCGTCTGGTGCAGTGGGGAGCAGCCCAGCTGCCTCTTCCGAGACTCCTGCAAAGAAGAGGTGGCAGACTTGTGCCCGGCTCCTCGGATTCATTCTGTGAGTATGGGCAAAAGGCTCCCTCGGGCAGGAGAAGCCAGCTGCGCGGAGCCAAACCCACAGGTGTCCAGGAGGCTTGCAAAAAGAAAAAACCCGAAAACCCAGACAAGCAACGGGCTAGCCAGAGTTAGGGGTGAAAGGGCAGCCCTCGTGTTGACTGGACAACAGGATAGCTTCTTATCTTGAGAAGAAGCTGCCTTCTTTCAAAACGGGATGGCATGACTTCTTACCTTGAGTCCCGGAGCCTGAATGGCATTTTGGAATGTAGGAGTCTGTTTTATAGGCTATTGGACCCTTTGTTTTAAAAATTGTTTATTAGCTGCCTTGCTGGGCTAACCCGTTTTCCCTAGCGCAGTTGGGATGGTGTACATTGCTCCCCTTTGTCCCGTACTTTATTTTCGCAATATTCCTATGAGATAGCTTGTTCTCACCCAGCCAGTGAGTTTTGTAGCTCAGCAGCGCCCAGGACCTTGATCTGAACCTTGAGTCCCAACCAGCTCTACTACCTGCTCCTCCTGTGCTGGGCCCCCACCTCATTCCCTCCTCCAGGGATGGGATGGGGGTGGCTGCGTTTTGCTGTCCTGGGATGTGTTTTGACCTGGCTCACGACCTCCCTGCTTTGGCCCTACCCCACCATCCAGCCCTAGATTTCACCTAGAGAGCCTTCTTTTCCCTCACCCTAGTGACCGGGGGGCGGGGGCAGGAGGAAAGATTTTCCCAGAGGGTGATTATAGCTAAGGAGGGAAGAGGCTCTACCCTCCCTTCCCTATCCATAACAAACCTCCTGAAAACCCCTCCTCTAATTGCTCTAATTGTGCAGCAGTTTGTCTTCGAATTAAAGAGAGAGAAAAAATGAATTGGCCCACAGGGAAGCCTTGTTTCTACATCGGATTGCCCCATGGGGTTGGTTGGAAGAGAGGGCTCTGGTGTTGCAAGTCCACAAAGGAAAATTTCCAAGCACTTGGTGAGGTTCCATCCGGTAGCAGAGGGAGAGAGAGAGGGGACTGGCCCCACTTACATCTGCTTGTGGCTCCATCCCCACTCACACACACCCCCAGCCTGCTTCTGTCTTTTTCCAGAATCTTAGGCAGAGATCTTTTCCCCTTGTTGTTGTTGTTGTGTTATCGTGTCTGAACTGGCTTATGGTGACCCTAATACGGCTTTCAAAGTGAGACATTTGGAGGAGTGGTTTTACCTTTTCCGCACCCCCAGGACTTACTTACCTGCTTGTGGCTCCATCCCCACTCACCACCCCCTCCAGCCTGCTTGTGTCTTTTTCCATGTCTGAACTGGCTTATGGTGACCCTAATGCAGTTTTCAAAGTGAGACATTTGGAGGAGTGGTTTTACCTGTTCCGCACCCCAAGGGAACTTCCATGGCTGAGTTTGAACCCAGGCCTCCTGAGTCCTAGTCCATTACTCTGTCCACTACCATACCAGGGACCCCAGTCATGATCATCATATGCCATCAAGAGAATTCTGACTTTTCAGGGCTTTCCAGGTGAAGAATATTCAGAAGTGGTTTAGCTTTCCCTTCCTCTGGGAGCTCCCTGGGGTTGTGCAGCTTTGCCCAAGGCCACAGAAGCTGGCTTTACTCACAGGAAGCACAATGGGGAGATTGAACTCCGATACCTAAAGATTGAGCTGTCCAGCTAGCTATCTAGCTGTGACTTAATCCTTGGGACCTGGGGAACTTTCCCCATCTAAAACATGTGCTTTATATTGAGGGGTGGTCTCTTCCTCTGGAGTTGTGCCAAAGCCAAGCTTATCCTATTTATGCAGATTTAGTCTGTTGAAATTTCATATGGTTAATCGGCTTCAGTTCTTATTACTGGGTGACGCAACCCTGCTTTCAGCTAGGCCTTGCATGTGAAGTTCTTGTTTTTTTAACCTGTCAAGGCCAAAAATGTTTTCGAGGTGAGAGGAGGAAACAATTTCCCTTCCTGAGTCCTAAATAATGTGAAAGCCCAACATTTATAATCCTGTTCTGTGCCCTGGAGTCCACTTGGATACCTGGGAGGAAGCTAATATACAAACTCCCTTCTCCAACCCCATGCTCAAGGTGAGAGGCAGTCCGTTCAGAGTGAGGGAATGTTTTTTGCATTACGAAACATCTTAATGTCTTAAAAGACTGCAGAAAAAGAGGATGTGGTTTAGAAATCAATCAAAAATATTCATGGAATGTTTTCCTTTAATTTTCAGCTTAGTGCTAATAAGACCCCTTATCAAAAGCAGTGTCATATTTTCTGTGTAAATATATATATTTTAGTCCAGTGTACTAAATATATGCACGCTGCATCTGTGAAAAAGAGCAGTTGAATGAATTGCAGTTCTTTTCCTGAAAAACAAACAAATACATGCAGGAAAGGATCCTGGCCCTGCTTCTATGGATCTGTTGCGGGAAGCAAGCCTCAGAGAGACAAGTAATCACAGCGGTGGTCCCATGTGTATTTGCAGGGCATTTTCACAGTCATAACCTTGAGGGAAGATTTTAAATACTGAAGAAGTGGGTCTTGAAGAGGTACCTGGAGGAGAGGGAAGAGACGTGGCTTAAAGAGTCCAGGGCATAGTAGGGGCAGAATGGAAGCAAAAAAGAAAGAAAAAAAAAGGGGGGGGGAATGGTACAGTAATTATAATGCAGGAGTCTGAAGGAGAAGACAAAAGACAGGCTCCTGGACAAGAGATAAGCTTACACAGAGCAGAAAAACAGAGAAAGCAAGGAGAAGAAGGAGACGGGAGATGAGAAAGGTGATAAAGCCAGGAAAGAGAGGGAGAGAATTTTAAAGACATAGCAAAGGACCTTGAGACCTGAGATGTGAGGCTGTGCATTTTAACAGTAAACAAAAACAACAGAGTGTCTTTTAACCCTTTAAGCCAGGAAGGGGAACAACCATGAAAGGTCTAGAGACCACATACTTCCTAGCGGGTTACACCTGTTCTTGTGACCACTCATCCCCAAATCATTGTGGGACACAGGAGGTGGCAATGGCAGGGGGTCCATAAAAAGAACACACTGTTCACTTTAAATAATAGCAATGTGTCATCAATCAATTCTGACTTATGGTCACCCTTTCTAGTATTTTCCAGGTAGAGAATACTCAGAAGTGGTTTATCTTTCCCTTCTTCTGGGGCCATCCTGAGACTGTGGAGGTTGCCCAGGGCCACACACAGGCTGGCTCTACTCACAAGAGACACGGTGGGGAATTGAGCTCCCAACCTCTGGCTCCACAGCCAGATACCTTGGAGCCATCTTTCTTAGCTCAATGTTTTTGGATGCTCCAGAGTTTTCCAAACAAAGGTACAGTAATGATAACTGTCTCCTATTATGAACTGTCTCATATTGTGAAATAAAACTAATAATAACTGGTCTCTCGTAGGATGGCTGATGATGTTCTCAATGCAATTTTGAAAGTTCCGAGTTCCATATATAGTCTTAAATGTACATGTGTTTGGACATCCCTTTCAGGTTTATCCTTTAACTGAAAAAAAAAAAGGGGGGGGAAGGTACAGTAATTATAATGCAGGAGTCTGAAGGAGAAGACAAAAGACAGGCTCCTGGACAAGAGATAAGCTTAGGCAGAGCAGAAAAACAGAGAAAGCAAGAAGAAGGAGACTGGAGATGAGAAAGATGATAAAGCCAGGAAAGAGAGGGAGAGAATTTTAAATACTGTATATAGCAAAGGACCTTGAGACCTGAGATGTGAGGCTGTGCATTTTAACAGTAAACAAAAACAACAGAGTGTCTTTTAACCCTTTAAGCCAGGAAGGGGAACAACCATGAAAGGTCTAGAGACCGCATACTTCCGCATACTTCCTGGTCACCCTTTCCAGTATTTTCCAGGTAGAGAATACTCAGAAGTGGTTTATCTTTCCCTTCTTCTGGGGCCATCCTGAGACTGTGGAGGTTGCCCAGGGCCACACACAGGCTGGCTCTACTCACAAGAGACACGGTGGGGAATTGAGCTCCCAACCTCTGGCTCCACAGCCAGATACCTTGGAGCCATCTTTCTTAGCTCAATGTTTTTGGATGCTCCAGAGTTTTCCAAACAAAGGTACAGTAATGATAACTGTCTCCTATTATGAACTGTCTCATATTGTGAAATAAAACTAATAATAACTGGTCTCTCGTAGGATGGGTGATGATGTTCTCAATGCAATTTTGAAAGTTCCGAGTTCCATATATAGTCTTAAGTGTACATGTGTTTGGACATCCCTTTCAGGTTTATCCTTTAACTGGACTGGTTGAAGGTGGCACCAGAATCACCATCACTGGTTCAAACCTTGGTCAGAAACATGAAGATATTGCTGAGACAGTTACTGTGGCAGGAATCCCCTGTGAGGTTGACCCTGTGGCGTACCAGATCTCTAGCAGGTAAGTGAATTTCCCACGTTCTCCTAGCAAAGAGCTGATATTGTATCCTCCGACCCATGATATGGTCACTGGTAGGTGAAAATTTTTGCCCTCTCATATTAAACAGATCCCTTTTCCCCCCCATCAACACCAACATTTCACTTCCCACCATGTGTTTTTAGTGCTAGTGTCTTTACATCACAGACTAGCTGGGGTTCAAGCAGCGTTCACAGGATCAGGCCCAGGGAGGGAAGGTGATCAAGTAACTAACTACAAGACAGGCATCATGTACAAGAAAATCTTGCAAAGTCAACAAAAACTAGCAGGTTCAAGGGAGTCAAAGATATAAACAACGAGGAACCTCCAGAGCAAAACTTTGCGACAACTTTGCTGGCAGTCTTTTCTTTCTTCTGTTGGAAGAGCTGCAGGGCATCAAAAACCAATAAAATCCAGGCAACCTAATTACTCTGATCACTGCGATGTTCCAAGTTAGGGGGCCAGGCTGGGTAGCTGATGCTCCTGCTAGTGCCTCCCAAACTTACTTAATTGCCACCGTAATTCTTTTACCGCAGTAATATCTGTGTGATAGAATGCTACTAAAATCTTAGAAAAGAAGCCTTGAATATTTGCCACTGTTAGCTCCTACCGCAAAAAAAAGATAAAGAAAGGTTTGTATCAAGTTATGGGAATCTATAACCCTCCATATGTTGTATTGAGGGACACCAACTAGAGCAGTGTTTCCCAACCTTGGGTCCCCAGATGCACTTGGACTACAACTCCCAGAAATCAGCCCCTTATCTCCAGCCCCTTATCTGTAAGCAGCTCCTTATCTCCAAGAAGATTTATGGGGGTGCTGGAAACTGGGATGAGTACGAAATCCAGACAAACCTCTAACTGCTGAGCTGAGCCACTTAGATCTCAGCCAGGTTCTGTCTAAATTTCTTCCTCAAAAAGCCAATCTCCTTATTAAGAAAGCAACACACACAGACACATCCTTGAGTTATACTCAGAATAATCTGGCTCTAAATCTTCGGTAGCGAATACACATGGCCAATTAGACATACAGCCAGTCTGTGCAAGAACTAATACATGCAGATTTATTCATTACTGGCCAGCACAGGTAGTGGTAACGGCTTCTGTGAATTTTACTAGTACAGTGGTGCCTCGACTTACGAACTTAGTCCGTTTCCGGAATGGTGTTCGTAGGTTGAAATGCTCGTAAATCAAAGCACTATTTCCCATTGAAATGCCTGGAAACTGGATTAATCTGTTCCAGCATTTAAAAAAAAATTAAGCACACAGAAAACCCCATCTGAAGGCACTGGGGCTTAAAAAAAAAACAACCAAAAATGAACAGAGTAAGCCCCGAAGGCTGCAAAAAACCCCCAAACAACCAAACAACACCCCCCCAAAAAAAAAACATTGAGCAATCCCCATGCTGGGACTGCCAAAAAAAAAATCACCAAAAACAAACGATACAGCATAGAAACATAACCCACCTCAGCCGAAACCCACCCAGAAGTTTCTAAAAAGCAAAAAGCAGCGCCTTGCCAGGAAGACTGAAGCCTCCTCTGATGGCACTCGCTCCCCAGCGGATGGCGGCTGGTGAGAGGCCCCGGCTGGCAGTGTGCGGCAGCCGAGGCAGCAGCAGCAGCGGGGCCAGCCATGGTGGAGGGGGCCCTTACCCATGCGTAAATCCATGCCAGAGATATGGGCAGGGAGTGCGCTGGCTTCCCACGCCCAGAGGCAAACTGGAGGCACCCCGCTTCTCCTTCCTTCTCCTGCGCTGCCACCTCACGCCCCGTCCACGGAGGAGCCCCTCCGACTTGCATGCCCCAGGCCTTCGGTGGCCCTTACTCCTGAGTAGACCCGTGCCTTCGGTGGCCCTTATTCATGAGTAGACCTGTGTCAGGGATGGGGAGGGAGTGCACCGGCTCCCTGCGCCTGGCGGCAATCCGGAGCTGCCCCTGCCTCTCCTTCCTTTTACTCTGCCACAGGAGTAAAAAAAGTTCCCTGACCCCCCCTTCTCTAACTATTGGGGCGAAAGAGCTACAAAGAAGCTGCCTCTTCGCCACCAACGGTTCGAATTTCCCACCTTTTCCCCTGCCTTCTTCTGTTCTTAGGTCGAAGCTCTGCTCGCAAGTCTAAGCAAAATTTTGCGAGTGGAGCTGCTTGTAAGTCGAAATATTCGTAGGTAGGGGCGTTCGTAAGTCGAGGCACTACTGCACATGTTTCTAGTACACGTCTGGGAACCCAAGGTTGGGAATTACTGAACTAGAGCATTCCTGATCATTAGCTCTGATGGCTACAACCAATGGGAATTGACCTCCAGGTGAATGTTGCGGGAGTTGACATTGAGGTTTCCTGCCTCCAGCTGCAACCTGGAGACATGTTTATGGCCTGACCTGTTCTTGGAAAAAATGCAGATAATAGTTCTGTGATCACACCCATCTAATTTGTTGCATTTGTGGCAGAGGGTGCTATATTCCATTGGCCAGCAAAGACTCCTTGAAAACAAACCATTCTGCTTTCAAACAAGGCATATACAGAGTGCATGTTGCGTTTTCATAATGATTAGGGCTTGCAGGAACATTAATAGGTTTCAAAACAAGGTGCATGCCCTCGCCTATGGAGCTGGGCATGAACCTCGGTTCAGAGGTTCGTGCTGGTTCATACATACGGCACCACAGGTCCACGTGTTCCTTTCCCCTGCCTTTTCAGCCAATGACCCACTCATCAGTTGGAGCAAACTCCACCCCCCCTCCTCTTCGGCTGTTCAGCTAGTCCCTGGCAGGAGCCACGGGGTTGCCTGTCCCGCCTCCTTGTCTGAGTGGGCAATCAACCCAGGAAGTAGGTCAGGAAAGCCCATGTTCTTGCCAGAGAATGACTGAACAGCCAAAGAGGAGGTGGAGGAGAAGAGCATGTGCCGGCTGGTGAGTGGAGGATCCATTGGGGGAGATGGTGATGCCATGCCTAAAAACTGGCACGAACATCCAAACTGAGGTTCATGCCCATCTCTACCCATCTGTCTTTTAAGACTGAACAGGTTTGGGACTGATGCTGCATTGCCAGCTTCTGGCAGCCTGGCAGTAGACTTGAGGAGGGGGAGTGTGGCACCATATTATTTGGAGGGGGAGGCAATGTGGATCCCTGGCCCTTGGGAATTGCCTACTTCTGCTCTGAAGAAAGAAGCTGGTGATGACAGTCCATAGAATAATGGAACTGAAAGGTACCCAAACACCAAGTAATAATCCCCATACCCCCAACCCCCAATGGAAGTCAGAACCACCCACCCTCATGGTCATATGTTGACCTGATCCACCTGCACCATCGTCCACTCCACTCAAAAAAAAGTGGAGTGAACGACTGAAATAACTCCAGGAAGCTTATGTGAGTGAGCCAAGCCATGAGATTGCAGAGGGACCAGAAATGGCTCACCAGCATGACGGTTCAGGTGGGTGATGTCTCCTCCGCAGCCAGGCTGAGAGCTAAAAGTGCCCCCCCCTCTCATTAACTCAGGTTTAGAGCAGCCCATGTGGTGCCCCTTGGTGGGGGATTCTTCTCCATCCTCTCTTCTGCCCTTGTCCTGCAGTATCGAGTGCACCACGGGTGGAAGCGGAACAGAGAGGTCTGGGCACGTGGTCGTGGGGGTTCTCGGAGGAGGACAAGGCGTCTTCGGCCATGTGTTCACCTATCAGGTAAAGCAGGCCGCCCTTAGTCAGGAGCTCTCAGGGGGCCGTTCGGTGGGGGGAGGGGGAAGAACAATGGGGCTGCCGGCAGAAGTAGGAATGGCCTCCCCATGCCCACAGAAGCGCGGGGAAGAACAATGGGGCTGCTGGCAGAAGTAGGAATGGCCTCCCTATGCCCACAGAAGCACCCGGGGGGCCACTTTGGCAAGTCCTGGGCCTACTTTGCTTCTTCGAGTGACCTTTGGGGAAGAGCCACAAAGACTCCCAGAAATGTCCAGAAGAAAAAAAGGGGGGGAGGGGGGAGGAAGAAAGAAGTTAAATGGTTGCTGGAAATCCACTTCTGGTTGATGTAATGATGTCAGGTGACCACTCCGCCCGCCGCCCCCCGGGTGAACTGCCGCTCCTGGAAGATTTCACTGTTCTCTGGTAGAAGAGAGGGTTCAGAAGAGAGCTGAGGGCACAGAAATAGCTGGAGGGGCACAAAACCTCCCGAAAGACACATTTTTACCCTCCCTGTACTAAATGGCATACATTACAATGTCAGCAGACTGGGCGTTTTCCCCACGCTCGACGGCCCCTTGTGGGAGAGCGAGGAAACTCAAATGTGCAACGGCACCAGAGTCCTCTTCGGGTGGCAGACACGTCGGTGGGAGTGGGGCTGTGCCTCGCCTTTACGGCGCCGTCCTCCACCATCGCAGTGTTGGGCGGAGCACGTGCAACGGACGGCCAAGAGGCACCGGCAGAGTCTGCTGCTTACCCGGAACACCTGCCAGGGAAGTCGGTAGCTTCCAGGACTGAGGATTGTGTGTGTGTGTGTGTGTGTGGGTCCCTTCAGAACTCTTTATCAGTCTCTGCTCTCGTGATGATGCCACACATCCTTGTGTTTCCTCCACTGACCAGGTTCTTTGCTTCTGGGCCCTTGGTGGCAGATCATTTTGTCCCAGCCTTTGGAAAGGCGCTCGCTCGCTGCTCTGCCCTCTTCTCCTTGCCGCCTCCCCTGCAGAACAGCTGCCGAAGCGGAAGGGATTTTTGTTTTCCTGAGTAAAAAGTGTGAAAACTGGTTCAGAAGCAGCAAGAGGGCTAAAATCACCTCTTTATAAAGGGAAGCAGCAAGAGCTGCAGAAGGACACGGCTGTCATGGCCACAGTGGAGCTTGAAAACGTTATAGTTTTGGACTACAACTCCCAGAATCCCCTCGGGTGGCAGGAGGGATCCTGGAGCTGTCATCCGAACTCTGCCGTGCCATTCAAGCAGCTTCTCCGAACAAGGGCACTGACAGCTCCTGCTTTTGAATTCTTTCAGTTAAATGTTCATTTCTCCCCTTTTCCTCCGTCCATGCAGAACCCGGAGTTGAGCTTCCTTTCTCCGTCCCAAGGTCCCAAGGCCGGAGGAACGGCCCTCACACTAAAGGGCTCCAAGCTGTTGACTGGAAACCCCAGCAAAATCAGCGTTCTGGTTGGAAACTTTCCTTGCTACATGTAAGAGGAAACAGGGGGGCCTGGAGACAACAACCACTGCTTTTTCAGATTCTGCCCACAGGCCTGGCTTTTGAAAGTGTGACCCCTTGAGCTAAGTCCCCAATGAATCTTCCGAAGATATTGCTTGCCTCTATGTTTTACAGTACCCTATACATGATATTAGTGGATCAGTTGCCTTCATGCCCTGTCTCCATTCTGAGGTAACAAGAACTTTGAAGGAGGCCTTCTGGAAGGAACCTGGAATTGGCCTATACCTCCCAGCATAATCCACCACTGCTTTAAATTTTACCTTATTTCACCATGAGGACTAGAAACTTGCCTTTTGGTTTTTAATATATATGTTTATTGAGGTTTTATTGAATTTTAAATTAAAATGGGCTAAAGCAAATTAAAGGAAAGTGATCAATATATCTCTGAAGGGGCCAGGAGGAGATCCATGTAGCATTTTGCTCCTTAGCCTGGTACCCCTCCTCCTCCTCCTCCTCTTCTTCTTTTAATATGAAACTCCAGGCATATACCTGACCTGTATAAAAGTGAGCTCAGGAGTATGTTGCAGCTTTCTGTGTCTTTTGCCAGCTTTAGAACAGAGCTCAGGAATCTGTGTCTCCCACTTCTTTGTTTAGATTGTGTTTTTTCTGATTTTACTTTCTGGCTTTTTTTTTTGCAAAGCTCAGATTGTATCTCCTAGAAAGCAACCAATAAATAAAACCAGTCCTCTCTTTCTTTCTCCACGTGCCTGCCCATCCCCAAAGACATTCTGAGGTGCAGGAGGATTTGCTGCAGTGCCTGACAAGCCCCAGTGATGCGTCCATGGAGCTTCCGGTCACCATTAAGTATGGGAATCAGGAGCGGAGGTTGGAAAATCCCCTCTTCAAATATACCTTGGACCCTAACATCACCTATGCAGAACCATCCAAGAGCTTCCACAGGTAAGAATGCACTTTCAGGAAGGCCGGGGTGAGGAACCTGCCACTCTTCACATGCTGCTGGGTTAGCAGCTGCAGTGCACTCAGCACGTCCCTGCACATGCGGTGTAAATTGTCTGTCTCCTTTCTTTTGGATGTGGCTTGTCTTAAAAGGCAGGTCATTGTTGCTATAGAAAAACCTGAGATCTTAAAACACAGTTAACAGTAAGTGTGACCTGTGCTGCATGCAATCCTACATTAAGAGACAGCTGAGATTATGTAGGATGGCATGCAACACGGGTCACGCTTACTGCCAAATGTGCTTGAAGATCGCAGATGAAAGATTTCCTCCACCCCACAGCCACCCTTCTTAAAAACGAGAAGGCTGTGTTTGACACGGCTAGCAGGATGGACAACAACAATAATCATAATATTTATGGATATTGGGCTCTATACTGCAGAGCATTCCAATGAAATCAATAGTGTGCAACACACAACATGGGCCTGTTACAACTAGTCACAATCAAACAGTTGTCTCTTGACTGTTCCTTAGTCCAGGGTTCTAAGCCCTCCCTGTTCTGTCCTGGGGTGATCCCTTTCCTGAACAAAGTGCTGCAAAGTGGTGCAAGCTTGCTGGTCTGCAGATATTCTTTTGCACACCCACTCTTCTTGTATAGAAGATGGTAATATCAGGGAGCATTTTCGAGAAGGCACAGCATGATGGGTTGTTGTCTCAAAAATGTGTTTCAGTGGCGGGAGAGAGATCCGGGTTCGGGGGCATAACCTCGATGTTGTGAAGCAGCCCCGAATCCGCGTCACAGTTTCACCAGTGGAGCGCCGACGCCGAGGCCTGGGGCGGTGGCGTAGGATTATCCCGGAGACAGAATGCCCCAAGAATGCTCTCTGCAGCGTCCAGCAAGTAGGTTGACTGTGGAGATGGTAGAAGGGTGTATCCCTGCTCCAGGATGGAAGATCTTTTCCCTGTGTCTAGCAGTTACATGAACAAATTGTGCTATAAATGGATTTCCTTGGTATCTGAATCCATGCCCAGCTATACCCCAATCAATAGCATTCTCTTAGAAGTAAAAAACAAGAATTGTCTTTCACATGAATTACCAGAACTGGCCACAAGAGTGTGGTAGAGACCATACTATTTGTTCTTGTCTGACGAGTATTCCTAGCACGGCCTCTGGTTTCCTCTAGTGGCCGGTTCTGGTAATACACAAAAGTAGTTTTTTCTAGGTTTTTTTCTTTTAATATTTTAAGATTGTGGATAAGTGAATCAGTAGATACTGATCCCGTGGATAAGGGGGGCCCCTACTGTATAGCTATATACTAGCTTTGATTCTATAGACTGGCTTTTGATTCTATAGACTACCTTTACTTGGCCAGTAATGAATAAGGGACGGGGTGGCGCTGTGGGCTAAACCGCAGAAGCCTGTGCTGCAGTCAGAAGACCAAGCAGTCGTAAGATCGAATCCACGCGACGGA